TATTATAAAGTTTGCTTCAGCCGGCACTGCTCGCCTAACACGGTGCGCACGCATGCGCAATATTTCCTGTGAGAAATTGTATTTTGCAAAGATTATGCATTTAAAATAAAGAGGAGTTATCCTAGCATAGATTTATATGATAACATTACATCGGGTGACATCATTTAAGAAATCGGAGAAAGGCCTTGCATGTAAGGTCCCGGCTGCGTATACCAGCCAGTACACAATCTGGCTATGTTAGTGTGTTAGCGCATGCGCAATATCTCACCAGAGGAGTTATATTTTGTGATGAATATACATTTAAAATGGTTAGGGGGTATCTCAGCATAGATTTCCCTAATAAACTTTTATCAGTTTACGTGTGTTTATAAATAGGACAGCGCCCTAGCCACTAGGGTGCAAAACTACTACTTCATCCCCGCTCGCCCTTTCCCTTGTCTCCCTTGTCGCACGATCAACCTCCTTCTTTTTCTACCGCCCCTCGGCTGTCTTCCCTGCCTCCTTCCCTCAGTCTCTCACCCTCTCTTCCGCAGCAAGCTATATTACGTACTTTTAATTAGGCCGTACTGCACGTCTGAAACGGTGCGCGTGCATGTGAAATGTCTCGCAAGAATAATAATATTTGGCCAAAATTATGAATTTAAAATGAAGAGGGCTTATCCCAGCATAGATTTCTATGATAATATTCCATCAGTAGACCTCACTTATGAAATAGGAAGCAGACCTTGCATGTAAGGTCTTCGCTGCATAACCCAGTCAGTACACAATCTGGCTACGTTACTGTTTTAGCGCATGCGGAATATCTCACGAGAAGAGTTATAATTTGTGCGGAAAATGCATTTAATATGGTCAGGGGGTATCTCAGCTTAGGTTTCTGTAATAAATTCTCATCAGTAGACCTGTGTTCATAATTAGGAGAGCGCCCTATCCACTAGTGTGCAAAACTACTGCTTCACTTCCGGCCGCCCTTCCCCTTGTCTCCCTTGTCGCACGCTCAGCCCCCTTCTTTTTCTACCGCCCCTCGGCTGTCTACCCTACCACCTTCCCTCAGTCTTCCACCCCTCTCGCCCGCTGCAAGCTATATTACGTACTTTTATTTAAGCCGTACTGCACGTCTGAAACGGTGCTCGCGCATGCGCAATATCTCCCGAGAAGAATATTATTTTGTCAAAATTATGAATTTAAAATGAAGAGGGCTTATGCCAGCATAGATTTCTATAATAATATTCCATCAGTAGACCTCACTTATGAAATAGGAAGCTATGCCTAGAGGCAATTAATCATTTTCGGATTAACAATACAGTAGCAAAAGTAGCATTTGCTACGGGCCCCGCGGTTTTAGGGGCCCGGTAATATCATAATCTATCTAATAGTTAATTTTGATTAAACAATTATTATTTTATTATTTATTTTTTATTTATTTAATTTTATTAGTATACACATAAACCTAATACAATAATGAGTGCTGGCAGAGTTTATTTGTCAGTAAATCTATGACAAATATATTAGATTTAGATTAAGTTAAATTCATGTATTTTGATACATATAATACATACGCGCACGCATATGGGGGCGCCAAGTGTCGCATGACTGATTTCGTTCAGTATGGGGCACCAAGTGTCGCATGCCTGATTTCGTTACGAAATCATTGGGGGATCATTGGTTTCGTTACGAAATCAATGATTTCGTAACGAAATCATTCATGCGACACTTGGCGCCCCATACACGCACACATGCACACACACACACACACACACACACACACACACACACACACACACACACACACACACCACACACACACACACACACACACACACACACACACACACACACACACACACATTCATGTTAACGTAATATCATCTCATATAAAATTATGATAAATAAGATATTTAATGAAATTTAAAAATAAGAATATATAAAATTATAATTGCTGGGAAATTGGTTTAATATATTATATATCGTGTCTGTATTATTTTGAGACCAATCTCCAGATGCGGAGGGGGCGTCTCGGTGTGAGGCACCATATGCAGCAGCAACAGAAACACCGAGAGTTCGTTTCGCGTTTATCAGTTTTCATTTACAATCATCTTTTAATCATCTTACTAATCATCTTCCTAAACATTTAGAAACGCGAACGAGCCGCGACCTCGCAATAATTTCCCCGAGAATAATATGAATACATGTAAATACACCTACCTCTAATCCGTTAGTAGGCCCCCTACCACAAATTCCTTTTACGCAGTGGCTGGAGTACGGTAGCCGTCGTCTGCAAGCCCCTTTTTTGCGTTAGGTAGTAGATTAGGATTACGTTACGTTTAGTTTAATAATTAGGCGTAGTCAGTTAAGCCAAGCCACACCTGCAGCGACAACGATACCACCGCTAACGACAAACAACTTCAGAAAATTAAAAAGAAACTATGTTCCTATAGCCATTGCACACTACCGACGACGACGGCACAACCTCGACGACAAAATATTAGAAACGTTTCTATTTCCAACAGCGACTGTCGCCGACGACACATTAACAAATGGCCAATCACAGCCTTTTCACCACCTGACATCGCCATTACTCCATAAAATTATAAACCAATGCTAGCCAGCGAAGTAAGACTGCTTCCCAGCTGATTTCCAGTCCTAAAACTCGCACCGCCTTGTCAGAAAACAAGTGGGGCGCGTAACCCATCTAACCAAAACTCCAAGCGACGCCAGATTATGTTTCACGTTCGGATAATAACTTAATATCTCCTGCTATATATTACTTATATATTCTCGTATAGCTAGAGCCGTTTTACAGCAATTTATTAAAAGCCAGCAGCCAGGAGTTTTGGCCGTTGGCTCATGTAGTGCACTGTCCTGAGCTGGTGAACTTGTGTCTACGGGCGGTCGTTGTCCCTGCAGTGTGGCTGCGCAGCGCCGCGACTTGTCGTTTGTCGTGACGCACTCGTCGCGCCTGCAGCTGTGTCTTCCTTACGTTCTAGACTCATCTAAAAACCTCAAATCCCTGAATTATTCCCCAAGCCTTATTCGAAAATCGGGGAGCGTCCACGCCCCATCTTGTCTCTTAAGTATGAAGCCGAATGACTCCCGACCGCTACCTCGAGACATTAAGATACGGCTACCGTACCCGTAGCCACTGCCATCATTTTTATTCTTGTTGTTTGTGCAGAGTGCTGACTAGCCAGTTCCCTTCTCGCTTAACACTACGTTGGCGACCCAGGCTCTCCTACGTGTAACAGTCGGAGAGCCTGGTCGGTTAAGTGCTGACTAGCTCGAAGAAACGGTATTGCTAGGGTTAGAATATTGCATAATTATATAGAAATTGCGTAATGTATATTGACGTTAATCACACAGCCTGGTTGGGTTAACCGTTAAGTGCTGACATGTTGTTTTATTTACACAGCATAACGACAACTTGATTGGTCGTTTCTTTTGACATTACTTGTGATTGGTCGTCACGGATTATTGAAAAGGTTATTTTTTACTACTACTGCGAATGCTTTCCGACCATAGCAGTCATTGCGCCCACCACTCCTAGCCTCCAGAACTCACTATCATTTGCCAGTAGACGTATGTTGTTCCACACGCAGAGGCGTATCTAAGAAAAACTGCGCCCGGGGCAAGTGCTAAAATTGCGCCCCTTCCAACTTCTGACGCCAATGAAAAAAATTAAGAAAAAAAATGGAATGTTGAGTTTTTGGTTGTTCCTCAGATTAGGATGCCAATACTTCTAAACTACAGCTACTATCCCAGGTCCAGGTAACAGGGACGTGTACAGGATTTGTACCAGGGGTGGGTCTAACCGTAACCCAAACTTGCGAGCACGCGAAGGGGGGGTCTGGGGAGCCCTCCCCCAGAAATTTTTTGAAATTAGACCCCCTTAGATCTATGCGTTTTCTGCGCGAACAGGGGGGGAGGGGTCCGGACCCCCTGGACGCCCCCCCTGTATACGCCCCTGGGTAATCAACTTGTCAAATAAAGGATTGAATTATTTCAAGATATCATTTAGTAGGCAGATTGTTTTTTTTTCCTTTGCCTTTTTGCGTTTTTTTTTACCTTTGCCTTTTTTGCGCCCCCCTGAACATGGCGCCTGGGGCACATGCCCCCTTTGCCGCCCCCCCCCTAGATACGCCACTGTCCACACGTCACCACTAAAAGGGAAATTTAGTCTTTCAAGATCTTTCTTCACCACATCGAACCAGGTTGTTTTTGGTCGTCTGGGATCCCTTCGCATAGGTCGAAAATACTCAGCCATTGCTTTCTGAGCTGGAGCTGTTGGTGGCAGTCTCATCGCATG